ATATAATAATATAATAATCGTTAATATAATAATATGTGATATAAATGTAATATTAACAGAAATTGTGCGCTGACAGTTTGCTCTTAAATTCGCTATAGTCTACAGTTTTTCTAAAGTGGTCAGGGAGGGAGTTCCAATACTTAACAGATGAATAGCTAAAAGAATTTAGACCATATGTGGTTGTAAACGGCTTAGGAAGTGATAAAATATTCGTGCCCCTTAGGGAGTAAGCAGTAGATCTTAGCTTGATTAGTTGTTTCAGATAGCACGGATATTTACCAAGATGGAGACAGTTGAATATACAAATCATCATATTTTGTATCCTCCTGTTGGCTAAACCACACACACCTGTCTTGTCTAAAAGATCATCGTAGTTCGAGTCCCAGTCCTTCAAAACAAATCTTAAAATACGTCTAATTAAGGTGTCCAGTTTAACAGAGTCCTCTGAGTTACAAAAGTGCCATATCATTGAACAGTAGTGAAAATGGGGTAACATAAACGTTTTATAATCTTAGGCGATGTGTTTTGTTTCGGAATGATCATGATACCTCTGCAATAAATAGTATTGCATTAGAAATTGTTCACTCCAGTCCGAAACTATTGTCTTGAGAGCAAAAGATATATCCGCCAACTGAATATCCTCGTTTATTCCTGCAACGATTACAATATTTTCGGGCTCAAATCCTGCGCAGGTTGCTCGCTCGGAGGTGAATAACAAAGGATATTTGGAGTTTAATACACCAATCAGAGCACGCTTTCATTTCTATCCACTATTTTAGTCTATACCTAATGTAATTATGCATAAGTTAAAGGCCGAGTCAGCTTTAACATCTCTTGTAGAATCTTTGAATTACAGCCTTTTAAAGTAATTTGACAACAATATTATTAAAATTTGTTTTCTTTATTCTCAGTTTTATAGATCTTTTAACTTCTCAAGGGACCGAAGGAGCAGTTACCTTTATCATACAGACATGAGGATATTTTTTGTGACATTTCTACCGATGTTAAGTGCAGTACCTCTATCTCAACCATCCCACAATGGGCGGGACGAGCTCTTTGCTTTCTACATTTTCAATTCGTTAATTGAACTTTTGTTATCATTTTCAGTCCTGTTTTATACTCTTCATAAATTGTAAACTGTATGCTGTAAATTCTTGACTGTCAGATAAATCGTACAGAGGTTAGTAGTAAAGTACCGCTGATAGTGCTGTTTTCTTATCACTGTAAAGGGGTTAAAATCAATTTTTGAAGTTTTCCTCTTAGCTTCAAAATCTGTACTACTTTCGCAACTCGGTTCGCTGCGGGAACGTCGTTCAAAGTAACCGAAGACATTTAACACTTCCTAAACTGAGATACAGACACCCTTAAAATAGTGGTAAAGGTAAGTTGGAATAAAATAGGATCTACCTGAATCATTTTTCTCCAAAATTCTGCGCCCACTGTGATTGTACACACATACTTGTTATCTGCGATGGTGACGACCCCAACTTTTTAAACATTTAAGAGTATAACCCCTAAAATCTGACAAATTAGTCAGTCCTGTTAAAAGCCCAGAACGTCAGCCTGAAAAACTCGACAGCTTACAAATCGAGACAGCTTAGGGGTACTTTTAAGCTTGATTGGGCAACAGCGAGAGATTTCGGTTCCACTGCCTTAACTTTCATCGGGCGATCCTGATAATAACCAGCTACGCAGTTACCAGTAGGCCTGTCCCGATTGTGCTCGTAAGTTGCTGGAAATTTGCTCACTGGATTGCAAAAAAATTGCGTAAAAAATATCCAGGCAAAATCGGGGGAAAAACTGCCCGTAAAAGCAGTGAAAGAGAATGCCACAGGAGAAAACTCTTTTTTCTCCTATATACTTCCAGTGTAAGATGCCGTTGCAGTTTAATTTATATCCAACTGCAAAGACAGGGATCTCCGCTCTTTGTATTAAACGCAGCCGTTCCTTAGTCATGCGAAGTTTCCATTGGGTGACGTCCTGAAAAAGGGGTGCCCATGTATTTTGCCTTCAAGTAATAACGAACCAGAATTTAGACGAGATGATTTGTAGGCGAAACTGACCTGTAGGCGAGATGACTTGGGGGCGAAACTGACCTGTTGATGAGGTGATTTGTAGACGAAACTGACCTTTAGGCGAGATGACTTGTGAGTGAAACTGACCTGTAGGCGAGATGACTCGTGGGTGAAACTGACCTGTAGGCGATATGACTTGGAGGCGAAACTGACCTGTTGGTGAGGTGACTTGTAAACGAAACTAACCTTTAGGCGAGATGACTTGTGGGTGAAACTGACCTGTAGGCGAGATGACTTGTGGGTGAAACTGACCTGTAGGCGAGATGACTTGTGGGTGAAACTGACCTGTAGGCGAAATGACTTGGGAGCGAAAGTGACTTTTAGGCGAGATGACTTGTGGGTGAAACTGACCTTTAGGCGAGATCACTTGTGGGTGAAACTGACCTGTAGGCGAGATAACTTGTGGACGAGGGCGGACCAACCAAACCGAACTGCGGTTTCTGTACCTTAATGCAAGTACAGATATTTCTCAGCCTCAAAAATAGGGTGTCAATTTGTGACAGATTAACGTATTGGGCTACCAACTTCAATCTTAGTGACTGATACACAATACATCTTTGATTACGTGGCTTCTATGCGCGCGTCACTGGCGGGGTAAAATTATTCAGCATACTTGCATCCTTCAGTCATAAGAAGAGCGGAGGGCGAACGAGGTTAACGTTGAAGGAGGTTTTGCACCTGCTATGCCGTAAAAACTCCCGCCTCAGCTATCACGCTAAAGAATCTCATTAATCAACTTGAACTGGTGTGGTTTTGCTAAATTCAAAAATTTTTTTTTTTTTCGAAAGGTGATCTTTGATAGAAGAGAATAAAGTATTCAGATAGAAACTCACGTTTTTAGGGTGGTAGTCGACCGAAATAATTCAATTCCAGGAAATCTCCAAGTGTTTTGCGGTCTCATTTTGTGAGATTACTCGAATAGTAGACAATTTGTATGTTCACAATGACACTATTATTTCTGTGGTCTCTTTAACCTCCAAAATGAACGTATTTTTTTTGCGTTCTTCAGGGGAGTGCGAAAAAAAATTACATCGGTTTTTCATGGCCGTGGTTACATCTGTAACCGACTTTGATAATGGCCTCTTTCTTGTTAAGTGATACTCAATGTTGTTAAGAGAGGACCGTCGTCATTCCCGTCAGAAAGTGCATTTAGTGAAGGAATTAAGTCTTACCAATTTTGTTTCCTCGAAGAACAATTTATAGTATTCCATCAATACGTGCCATGATCCACTTTAAGTTAAAAAAAACCGACTTCTCTTTTTCAAACATGTTAGATGATGAATCACTTATTTTTTCTTTCCCCGTCTTATTTCTTCGCGTTTCGTAAATTTTGTAACGTACGCACCAGTAACATTACTCAATGGCNGATTGTTAACACTTATTTTCTGATGTTACCCGTAATTTTTTAGGTGCTTTCATGTTGGTTTAAATTGTTTCGAGATATTTTCAGGTAATTTCAGATGGTTTCCTTGGGGGTTTCAGATGGTTTCAGGTGGTTTCATCGGTGGTTTTAGATGCTTTCATATGGTTTCAGATGGTTTCAGATGGTTTCAGGTGGTTTCAGGTGGTTTCAGGTTGTTTCAGGTGATTCCAACTTTTAGTACTTACGATTACCAGTTTCTAGGTGATGAGGCCCACCACAGAAAGGGTTCTGCTACGGTCAGATTGGTTAGATGGTTGGGTCGATCCTTACGCGAAACCATTACAGAGCGTTTCTTCTCCGAAAAGATCCATCATAAGTATTTATTGTGTATAATATTTTCGAGACAACCGTCTTTGAAATTATGTCCTGTAGGTCGGTTTTAGTGTCCGTTGATTGATAATTGTTTGGTGTCAATGTTTTCTCAACTTACCTCTCAACTTACCTCTCAACTTACTTTGATTGGTTAGAAGATGCGTTCTCTCAGTGGTCTGTGGCCGTAAAGTCCCTTTTGAGGTGTTTCTGGCCGTGGGATTGATGCTTCTTGCGTTCCTATCCCACTGTTGTTAAAGTGGAGTCTCAGATATGTTAATAGCCCATTTTATTAGATTTGTGATTTTAAAACCCGAGCTGTACTAATCGTCTCAGACATTTTTTCTTTCTGCTTTTCTTTCGCCTAGTTTAACGTTAAATTGATTTCTTTCTTGTTCATTTTCTCTTGTCCAGTTGGTATTGCTAAGAGGAAAGCTGCAAGATTCAATTAATATGGGAGACTGGGTCCTAGATATCGATTTCAAATCGCTAGCTGGACGTGTGCAGACCATCGTAATGAACAGTGGCGCCTGTTCGTCATAAGAGTTTACAATGATTGTCCTAGAAGAATGTAACCTCTAATTGAATATATTGACGAGATTCAATTTTTGAATTAACGACTTTACACTTACTTGCGCTTAAGAATGGCCTGAGTACCTGTAGCCCAGAAGTCGATATATTTGTGTTTACTGCAATACCACGACAGAAACAATTCATCAAAATTTATTTTTCTGTCAACGCATGTCAGTTAAAGTAATTGTTTTTGTCTGGTTCCTGAACAACAATTGCACCCAGAAAAATTCAATACCGCCGGGTTTTCTTTTTTTTTTATAAGGATGTGATTAGCGCAGAATTTAGCAAATTCTTGTTTGATGGAGAAACGGAAGGAAAACATCATAACGAGATTATAAATATCAGTGCAGGTGCGGCAAGGATGTATTTCGGTAGAGCTGCATTCCTTTGAAAAAAAAAAGACATTGAGAACATTGGCAAAAATCTAGGCGTACAATTTCGGCATATTTATCAACAGTCGATTTTTCATTGGTGGACTGGTTTATCATATACGGTCATTTCTTCTCCAATTTAAGCGTCAAAATGTTGCGGTGACAATATCGCTGTCATTGAAATGATATTGACGATTTTCTTTTCAATGACACACGTCACATGAGAGCAGAGTTGACCTCTTATCAGTTTCTACCAAATCTTATATTACAGTCGACTAGTTTTACGGCAGGAAAAACTGAAGAGGGGCGCTTGTTTGCACGAATCAAAACAGCGAGGAACTAAACCTGGTTTGTAAACACACGACGAGGACACAGCTTGTCGAAACAAGGTTTATTTAAAAGAACCTCTTCAATGTATCTTTTGTAAGGAATGAGGTAAGTTGAGAAAACATTGGCACCAAACAATTATCAATCAACGGACACTCCAACCGACCTACAGGAAATAATTTCGAAGACGGTTGTCTCGTAAATATTACGCACAAGGGTGAATCTTTTCGAAGAAGAAACGCTCTTTGATGGTTTCACGTACGGATCGTGACATTCTTCTCAGACGTTATGTGGGGTTCTTCGTGTCCCTTGAAAGATAAAAACGCCATCGATGTCTGAAAGCATCGATGTCTGAAAGCAACAACTTGGATATATTTTCACTTTTTTTGACTCTGTGGTTTTAAAACAGACGGGAATGCCTTTTTTAACGTGAAAGATTTCATTGCTTTAATCGGTTTAGCAGTTATCAGAACCTATTTCTGGATGCGTCACAACGAATTGTATTTGTAAGATAATGATACAGCATACTGTACGTTGCAATAAAACCATTATAGGTTTGGTCACAACTGCGGAGATCTGTAACGATATGAATGTATACAAAAGTTTTCCCGCAATTAATATTCTTGTTTATGTATAGTTTACTTTGTGAAATGGGTTGTCTTTGACAAAGAATCTGAAATGAAATGCGGGATTTAGATGTCGTTTAGCAGGCTTTGATTCGTAGTCCGTGATAACGAATGTCACTTGACGTATAGGACGTGAGGAAGATAGCGAGCCGTGTCCATATTGTCATTTGTTGTTTGCATTTAATATTCTTGTTTTCAAAAATGTTGGATATTCGTTTTCAGTCGTAAATGAAAGCTTTCTTGCCACACGGAGAGCTGAATATCAACCATTTTTGACTTTGGAAGAGAAAGATCTATTTTTATCTAAAACATTGGGACGACGGAACAAAGAACATTCGATGAGGGATTAATGGGAAGCGGGGCCAGCGGGTGGAAAACGACATCCTTGGGGTTTCTGGGCATTAAAATATCTCTGTATATCTTTCTGTATCTTTGGTAAATGTTTTAGTGTAGAGGCTAGGAAATGCTATGTTTTGATTTAAATTTATGGAACCAGAGCTCCCCCATCCAGCAGCGCCACAACTGTCAAATCAAACGCTACTGGTTTTAGAGATAACCTTATCCAGCGAATTAACTTCAGATGATTTGGGGAGGGCATGATACTTAAACATCAACGCAGTCAAAACACTCAATGAAGCCAACAAAAAGATACCAAAACTGTGACGTATCGTTAATCATTTCTCCGCAATTAGTACCCACGAAAACTCACTTAAAAATTGGTGAGCTTTATTGCTTTCTTTGTTGTTGGAGATACCCAAGATGTATATTTATGCCTGTGTTATATATGAAGACATCGCGTGACACTCGTCAGTTAATGAGATTCGAATTTATTTTTTTCTCAGGTCAGTAAATCTGTGATTGTCTCACCGATAGGAACAGAAGCCACAGTTAAAGACGCCTCACGGAAAAAAGAAAATTTGAACGGAAACTTGAACTGTAAAATGTCGGAATTTTTCAGCTGTAATGACAGCACAGGACGTTACGTCTTCAATATTGTGTTTTTTTCGCTCATTGGCGCAGCGATCATCGTACTTCTCGTACTGGGTGCCTACTTGCTCTATAGACGACACAAGAAAGCTCAAAAGAGAAGACTGCTTTCAAGAAGTCGTGCAATTACCATGAACACAAATAGCACAATTTTATCAAGGACTAGCGGGGGCGGTGAGAACAGTCAACTTGCGAGTAATTTTATCCTGGGCCGGCCACCTGCCACTGATGTAATTCTGGGTGTTTACGGTGACGAAATCTCCAAGAATGCCAGGGCTGCATTTTATGAAGAGAAAAGCTGGAGAGGATTTGCTTACTGAAAACTTATCGAGTGTTTTGAAGGCGCACTTTCATGGCACGAGTCCAGGTTCATTTTAATGGGGCGATTTCCTCGTTTTAGTTGGCATCTGAGCTGCGTTTTAAACAGCGAATTAGCATTTATTGGCCGATTTACGCACTTTGAGTGTGAAACAATACGGCTTAAAACGCTCTCGTGACTTAATGGCCGTTAACCTACGTTTTTCGCCAGAACGGCTCAAAGAAGCATTGAGAGATTCTTGAGAGTTAAAAAGACGTCTCAGCGACTTCTTATCGTTATTGTCCACGGATAGGAATATATTTTAGAAAAAAGCGCCTTTTGTACTAGAGTGCTTCTACTGCATTTACATATGACTTAATTGTAGCCGGTTTTTGTCTCCGGTCAAATTGTCACGAAAAGAACACATACCTCTTTGCTGAAGGAAATAAACTTCGTGTAAGGAAATGAATTCTCCCTATGAAATACTTCCTATTGTAGAGAAATTTTTAACTTCTCTTCATTTTATTAAACTTAGTGAGAAGTCGGATTTCGCTTGAGTTTAGCTATAAGGAGTTAGTTGCGAGTGGAATTAGTGCACTCTAAAACTGGTCTATATAATTATTTTGAAAAGTCACGCTGTTTGATAAGCTCAGAATGTAAAATATATTAGTTGCTCCTGTCCGATCACTGTTTCGTGGCATTCCTTGATTTATTAAAATCTCTTCAAATAATAATAATAATAATAATAATAATAATAAATTTGAAATAAAAATCGATGAGGGTGAACGAATTCTAAAGTACAAGAATGGTTTAGGGCGGACAAAGGAAATGACAAAATCTAAAAAATTCAGGCGAAATTTTCCATGACGCATATACGGCGATGTATCCTCTTTAGACATTGTGAATCGATGAGTATAACACAAGTTAAATGCAATACTTGAAATACTGCCTAAAGACATCATGAGGGCAGCCACACCTAACTTCTCTCGCTCTGTTGAGAAACACAAGCAACTCGGAACATTATGGAGATGGTGACAGTAACAGTTGCAGTAGAAGTGAACTTTATTTATGTGTCGTGAAAACCTAGCGCATAGCACTAATTGGGGACACAGGGTAAAAGCTTTAAAAATAAGAAATCTGGAACCTATTTACAGAATTATTTACCTAACCTATTAACAGTTAAAATTATTTATCAATGTCCCNTGTGATATTTCCTCCCAGTACTGCTTTATGGCTATTCGCCTTTGTCGTGTAGCCTCATTCCTCCATTTTCTCTTGAGCTCCAAGTTTTCTGGTGTTTTGTTTTGGTTGAACCTTTTGGCAAACTTACGTTTAGTCCTTATAGCAGATTTCCATGCTGGGGTTATATAGGGAACATCTTTTGCCTTGACTTTCATTTTCTTCACTGGCAAATACTCTGACAAAATAGTTCTCAGAAGTTTTATTCAATACTCATAACAATCCTCAACACAGTCAGATATTTCTCCCACATGCCAAGGTGCTATACTAAGGGTCTCTTTCAGTTTATCTGTGTCAAGGCAATTTAATAAAAGAACAGTATGCTATTCATAATGTGAAGTGCTGAAGAGGGAATGTGTAGGACCTGAACAATAGAGCATTTGGGGAAAAAAGGAACACCCGGGCAGGTCCCCGGGCAGAGTGTGGAGCTATTCAGAGGACACGCATGTAGAACCAACTGTGCTGTGTAAGCGTCATGGAAATTTATCGGACAGCTCAAATGTTAGCCTGCTTTATCCAAAACAAACTGAGATGGCTGCACTTTCGGCGAGATTTTGCAGCAAGATCAGTGTGCAGCGACGCAGTTTATATCTCTAGCTTGACAGTGTTATCGTGTATATCTATTCCTGTTGGTACGGAATCCAATCTTAGTGCCAAAATAAATGTATTTTGGATAGTATGTTTTACGGGCGAAGAGGAAAGGTGAAATGTTCCGTTTCTGTATCAGCACAGCCGCAAACTTCGCTAGTCTTTGGTAATTAATCTAACAACTAAAAGTTTATAAATGTCGCATCTGGTTAAGAGTAAAGAAATGTCTGAATAATAAATGCATCCACAGGGACAAGAATATATGAAAACTGGCTTATATCATTTTTACCCTATGAAAACACTTGATACCTTCTTTGAGAATTGTCCGAATCATCGTGTTTAACGATTCCCAGCAAACGGGAATCCGCCATTATAACATATGCTAATCTTGTATTCCTCGTTGACATGGCTCTTCTCAGTGCTTTGTATGATTCATTTCCTTTCTTCATGACTGGAAACGCTTGATTGCACTTTCAGTCACACATAGCTCCTCGCCCTCCCCCCCCAGCCCAGCTTGATTGTACTCTCAGTCACACAAAGCTCCTCGCCCTCCCCCCCAGTCCGATATTTAAAAACTCTTTACACCGACAATTAATCCTATATTAATATGTAGTTTCCAGATGGTCGAGTGGCAATCGTGGGCGCGCTTCGAGTGCAAGAGTTCGAATCACGCTATAGGAGTTATTCTTTAACTGGCTTGGGGGCCGAATAACTTCTCCCCAAGTATGATTTGGAACTGTCGGACAAGGAGCAACTCTCAAACTGGCTTGGGGGCCGAGTAACTCCTCCCCGTGGATTCTGTATTTTGTTTTTGCCGTTTTTGTTTTTTTTCCTTTTTCGCTCTGAGAGTGCAGTTATCGCTTCGGTTCACCGTGGTATTTTTTTTTTTTTAATGCAGTTTTAGTGGGTGTCCGTTGATTTTTTCCTTTCTTTCTTTTCTTTTGAACTTTTTAATTTCTCTTTTTTATTTTTATAAATTATTATCAGAATGTTCCACTCTGCCACTCCTTAATATAAAATACCTTGACTGAGTCTAACTTTTAGTACAGAGAAGCTGTATTCGCCACGATGTACTATTCTATCAAACTTGAAAACGAAGACACAGCGGTGAGATAACCTACATTTTACAAGTGTTGTAATGCTTCTGTAGAAGAGTAAAACTAGATAAACTAAGAAAAATCTTAACCGTCTTGTTTTGCTGTAGCTACAGTTTAGCATTTCTCTCATTACCCCAGATCGGTATCACCATAATCGTACACCCGGCACACGAAGCAGTTATGTAGAGTGTTTCGCGTTTAAAGAGGTAGCAAATGACTTCTTCGTCTCAGCAAACCAAGTCTTGGATTGATTTTAGTAGATATAGCTTTGACATGGTCTTCCCAAGTCATGGTCTTACTAACTTACGTCGAAGTATTTAAAAGTGTCAGTGCATTCGAGTGCGAGGTTATAAATAACCTCATTGACGTCCGTTCAACACAATCAGATTAACGACTTTAGTTCTAGTTTGTGCCAGACTAGCAAATAAATGATGATTTATCAATGACGGCATTTAAAGATGTGCAGGGAACTTGGAAATGGCGGTTGAGACTCCTGACAGAAATGCAGCCATGATGGAGGGCAGACCATGCGCCAAAACTCCAGCCCATA